GACTTCGCAAAGGCCTTCGACCGTGTTCCGCATCGTCATCTACTCGCGAAGCTTTCACTTCTTGTTATTGATTCGGCTATCATCGCTTGGATTCAGGATTCTCTCATCTCGAGTTCAGTTCACATTGGCTAATAATCACAAATACCCCCTTGGTGAAGTAGCATCAGGATTTCTCCAGGGTGCAGGACTCCTCCCACCTAGTATTCTTAATATACATAAACGACCTTCCTCATGACATCCTTTCGAAAATTAGGCTATTCGCCGATGATTGCGTGATATATCACCCACTCAGAAATGATTCAGATCATCTCATATTGCAGGACGACATAACACCAATTAATACCTGGTGTGAACAATGACTTATGCCTCTCAACCTGGACAAGTGTAAAATAGTTTCGTTTACCCAGAAAAAATTTACAGATACTTTCTTATATTTTTTCGGCGGCATCCCAATTAATACATCATCTTCATGGAAGCACTTAGGAGTAAATTTAACCTAATCGCTTTCTTGGGTACTATGTTGATAATAATATCGCTGAGGCATCACACACACTTGGATACCTGAAACGTAATTTAAAGTCCGCACCCAGTCACCTTAAAAAACTTGCATACATAACATTTGTTCGACCAAAACTTGAATATGCGTCATCCATCTGGCGTCCTTCTCAAGCTTACCTCTCTGATAACCTGGAATGCATACAAATTCGCGCAGCCCGATTCATCGCATCAGCTTATCCTCATGACATCATTGTAACCCAACTTGAAGAAACTCTTGAACTACCCTTACTGTCCAATCGAAGATTGAATTCTCGGTTATGTTTATTGCATAAATGCTACTATATTTATCCATACTCCCATACCACCCCTCTTGCTCTTCCTGGCAGGTATCATCACGCCTTAATCACAGTCAATGCATCAAGCGTATTGCAGGCAAAACGCTTGCGTTCAACACTTCCTTTTTCCCCCATGAAATAGCCACCTGCAACTCCCTTCCCGACAGCATCGTAGTCATTACTGACTCAATAAAGTTTCACAAGGAAATCTCCTCACACATCCACTAATCAATCCCAACTTAACCATATCAGTACTTTGTGTTCTTTACTATTGTTATTTTGACTCTCTCCTTTTCCTATTTTTATTGTTTTCAAGTGTCAACGTGTATTTTAGTTCTCGTCCACTCACCCCCGCCCCCCCCCCTTATGTAATGCCCCACCCGGGCCCTTAAGGATAAATAAATGAAATGAAATAAATGAAATGAAGGGCCGACGACCAGATTCGAGATTCTGCAAGGCAGAAGATCCTCCTCACTATCGGGGAGAAGGAAACAGACAACGGTAGGCAGGGTAGAAAGGGGAGAGGAGGAAGCAAGGGAAAAGTGGAAAGCGCGACCTGGTCGTCTGCCCTTAAAACAATGCACCGATGTTCAAGCGCCCTTGCACGATCCCCAGGGCAAAGTGCCGGGTTAGGGATTTCGAGTCGACGGTTTCGTATTCCGGCCGAGGTGAACGCGATCTCACAAATTCGCACTGAGGCGTGGGCACCGGGAACCTAGATCACCGTTGTAAAAAAAGAAAATAAAAGAAAGCAAAATCCTAATAGGATGCAGATATATTCTCAATGATTCGCTAAGGCTTTCCAGAAGCCCTACGTCTGTTTGGGATACGATCTCACTTGATTTCCTTATGCTTGCGTACTATATTCATAGGCAAATTTTATACAGACTTCGCGAGTCAAGGCTTATGCTAAAGCCTGCCATGCACACGACTTTGAAATAATGAAAAATAAATGCTCAAGAGCTCGGTGGTTGCGAGCGAAATGCTGGGGTGAACGAAATTTGTATCAATATGCCAACGAACTGAGTGTAATTCCACGCTTCACAAAAGTCTCTTTAGGTGGTGCATTTATCATACGCAAATTACGTAAATTTTAATTTGGGGGAAAAAAAAAGCCTAGATCATTTTTGTTTGTGTGCGTGTGTGTGTTTGTGCGTGTGTGATTCTTTTTTTTTTCCCTAAACACAGGGAGGAAACGGGTAAAGCCGTCTGATTGACGCTGGTATATACATATATTCTCACGAAAGCACAACGCAGGGTATAGAATAAAAATCAATATGATTTATATTCTGATTTAAATTATGATCTAAATCGTGATTCAAAGAACACCAGTTTTGCAACGATAGCATAAACTAATTCCCTTCCTGTAGAAATTGTAGAGACACAAGAATTGGCCGACCGACTGGTACCATAAAAACGGCATTTATAGAATCAAACGAGGTCTCACAGTCGGCGCTCGTAGCTCGAGCACGGCGAGCCCGAGCTCTTGCTCCAGCATGGTTGTCCCGGCATATGAATCAGGAAATGCACGCTACAATTAAAGCCCCTCGATGTTTAGCTACAATAGCCTCTCCCTTAAAAGAAAAAAAAAGAAAAAAAAAATACAGATGGGAGCATGTTCAGGGAATGTTCATGGTGTCTGGGCATGTGGTAGCAGAAAACGTACGAGGGAGCTTCGTGGCTGTGTCGAGGCGTCGCGTGAACGAGCAAAGTCATGTGAGCGTGCAAAGATAGCAGAGATTGGGTATATGCTTCATGTGTCCTGTCAAGAGATTGGGTATATGCTTCATGTGACGATTCTTGGTAGGCTGGTTTCAAGCGGTCAATGGATACCGTTTCTTGTTGGCCATTAATATCAATCGTGAAAAGTTTATCACCACGAGTTATGACTCGATATGGGCCGTCGTAAGGGTACTGAAGTGACCTTCGCACAGCATCGCGACGAAGAAAAACGTGTGTGCATGAATGTAGATCGGCTGAGACATAGACGGCTGACCGTTGTTGGGGGCGGGGAGGGGTAGGTCAGATGGTGCGCATTATCCGCTTCAAGTTTGTCGCGTAGCTCGTAGGATCCGGTGCTAGATCTTCTGGTCCGTTTGAAAAAAAATCTCCTGGAAGTCATAAAGTTGTGCCGTAGAGCATTTCCGCAGGGCTGCAATCGATGTCAGTCTTCAAGGCCGTGCGAAGCCCTAGAAGAATAATAGGGAGTGCGGAATCCCAGTTCGGTCCTATATCTTGGGCCCCAAGTGCGGTTTTGAGTGAGCGATGAAATCGTTCTACCAGTCCATTGGATATAAGGTGATATGCTGTTGTATGAATGCGCGAAGTTCCTAATATAGTCATGAGTTCGCGGAAAAGAGCAGACTCGAATTGGCGACCGCGGTCTGTTGTAAGGTATTAAGGCACGCCGAATCTGGACACCCAGTCGTTGATGAAAGCTTGGGCGTCCGTTTCTGCACGGATGTCCTGGATTGGGATGGCTTCGACCCAACGTGTAAAGCGGTCAATGCAGGTGAGAAGTAAGTATAACCACTCGATGATGGCAGCGGTCCAACTAAATCTATGTGGCTCTGGCCAAGTCGAAGGTCGGTAGGGGTAAAGGAAGAGAAAAGCGAAACTGTGTGTCGATTTATCTTTGAGCGTTGGCACTGGAGGCGTGCTCGGCTCCACGCCTTGACGTCGCGGTTCATGTTAGGCCAGATAAATCTCGAAGATAAAAGTCGTCGTGTTGTGTGTATTCCAGGATGTGACAAGCAGTGGAAGGAATCGAAAATTTGTTTCCGGAAACTGGATGGCACGAAAGGGCGGGGAGTGCCTGTCGACATCTCACAAACAACTGTCTCGCCGGGCATTTCTGAATGAATTTGCTCGAAGATAAGATGAGGAGATGAAGTACGAAGTTTGCTGAGCTCTTGATCATCTGCCTGTTGTTGTGCCAAGGCTTGGTAATCAAGAGATGGTGGTAGCAAAACTTGTGAAGCCATGACAATACGAGATAGAGTGTTTGCTACATTGTTGTCTACGCCGTTCACGTGACGTATGTCAGTGGTAAATTCGAATATGAAAGCCATATGACGAATCTCGCGAGAAGAGTGGTTTTCATTCGCTGATGATAAAACAAATGTAAGGGGTTTGTGATCTGTGAGTACGTGGAATTCGCCGCCTTCGATGTAATGACGAAAGTGTTTTATGGCCAGGTAGATCGCCAGCAATTTTCGAACTTCCATGGCCACCTCGGGAGGAAGGCACGCTATAAATGCAGTTTTTATCGTACCAGTCGGTCGGCCAATTCTTGTGTTTCTACAATTGGTGACCCGGATATGATGGAATTTTGCTTGGCTGAGTTGTAAATTGCCACCACTAGATGCCTCTAGAGGTGGACAGGTTTGTTTCCCGACGCCAAGCAAGGTTGTCCCGGCCTATGAATCATGAAATGCACGCTACAAAATAACCCCGAAAATATTTTGCGTTTACTGCTTGTCTATTTTTTCATGCTTTTTATGAGATTAAAAAAATTAAATAAGAAAATTAATAAAAAAAAAAGGAAGAGCCTGGCCACGAGCAAGAAGTGCTCTTTTGATCCAACCAAAGCGTTGAGCTGCATTCCACCTTCCATTTTGTTTGCCAGCTAAGTAACGTACCTACTACAACAAATTCTGAACGCAAGAGAAAGAAATGAAAGCTAGGAAAGTTATGGTCCGATAGCGACGAAATCGAAACGTGCAGCAGAACTATATAATATTATATTAAAACAGTTTTTTAACCGACTAAAATAAATTACTCTGTTTTTTCTAGCATAGTGTGGATTACATCAATAAACATTTGTTTAGTAAATCTTAAATTTACATTGATTCTTTCTTCCGCATCACTGATCGGACAAATTGATAAATGAATCTGGTACGTCAAAGAATCCAACTAGCAGTAAAACCATTTTCTAGCTACAGTGATGTTTATTAAATAAATTTATCTTAAATTAAATATATCTTAGTTGCCCAAGTTTAAAAACAAAAATCCGCTTTTTGGGGGCATTTTAAAGCTTGCAGACTTTTCTTTGTATCGGCGATTTCAATACAAAGGCTCTGGGAATATTGTGTCCTCCAAAGCCTTCCAAGCAGGGGTCTTTCGACGAAAAAAGGAACGCTCCGAGTTTGAATATAGAAATCAGATATGTCGTCGAACTCGAAAGAATATCTTTTTCCTTTGAAATTCCTCTGCAAGGAGAGGAATAAGACGAAACTTCACAAAAAGATAACGTAATATTTACTTTGTTTCAACTCTAATTTTTCTTTTTATGAGGGCGCGAGGGTATTACGAGGGCAAACGATTTGATTTTAAAGAACTCAAAATAGCAAACAACCCACGTACCGGGGGTTTCTCTGCCCTACAGTGACAGACCACCGGTGTCCCGACGGGGCCGAATGCAACGACGACCAGACGTGCTGCGAGCTCGCGGACCAAAGCTACGGCTGCTGTCCCTACAAGGACGCAGTGTGCTGCTCGGACCGCGCCCACTGCTGCCCCAACGGCTACACGTGCGACACCAAGGATGGGAAATGCGTCAAGAGCCACCGCAATCGAACGACGGACTCCCGGAGAAGACTCTCGCTTCGTTCCTCCCTCCGCCCGGTTGAGGTCAGACGTGAGTGTACGCAGCAGGCAACCCATTCTTCCTTCTATGTGGACCGCCAGTTCGTCTGCTTCTTTTGAAGGGGTTGTGATGACGTCAGGACGCCGATATCTGATTGGTCCAGACCGAAATATAGTGGGTAGACCTCAAGGCAGCCTGCTTCGAGGTTTACCCACTATACTTCAATCAGAGCCAATCAAAGCTCGGCGTCTTTCTGACGTCAACGCAACTCTTGCGCAAGAAGCAGACGACAACCAGACACGATCTTCTGCAAGGCAGAAGATCCTTCTCACCATGGGGAGAAGGAAACAGGCAATGGTGGACAGGGTAGAAGGCGGGAGAAGAGGAAGCGGGGGTAAAGTGGAAAGCGCAAACTGGTCGTCGGTCTTTAGTTAAGAAACGCCGCCTCATTGCTTGTACACCGTACAAAAGACGTGGTCTTCGTTGCAGACATGATGACAAAATAATTTTGCGGACGCACCTCAAGCGCGTACGAAGTTCGTTTACGCTTCGTCGTACAGATGTAGGCTTTTAAGATGTCTAATGCGTTGGACGTGTCTGAAGCCGGGGTCACATGGCTTACACGTTCACAACAAAAGAGACATTGTCCACGGACATCACTCACCGCGATATCCGTGGTACGAACGTCGCGTGCCAAGTCTTCTCCTCGAGCTCGTTGCCTTGCGGCATTCGAAGCACGGGCACGGATCTCGTGGTGACTTTGCGTTCGGGAATCCGTTTGCAGACTGTCGTTTTGATATGATGTATAAGCAGCGTGCTCCCGGCTTGATGCGTGTCTAATGCATCGTACAAAAAGACAGTCACTGTACTACGAAAAGACTGTCATTGTATCTACAGTGCGCACCATGTCTTTTGTATGATATAGGAGCAGCTTTTACCTTCAAAGCCCTACAATGCGTGACACTCATTGTGGCTAGGGTTCCGTGTTTTCGGTATTTACCGATAAACACCGAAAATCAACCCTCGAGGCGGTTTTTGTGAATCGGAGAAACAAAAAACTAAATATTTACTGTCCTTAAGCAAAAACCAGAAGAAAAAAAAAGGTCAGCTTCACGCAAAAAATTTTCGACCCTACCCTTTTTCTTTTGTCTCGTTGACGCAGAAGGACAGTTCAGCAACACTGAACTGCCCTTGGGGTTATTCTTTTCTATCGAAACTACATTGTTTGCTCCCTGTTCCTTTCTCTCATCTTTACCAGCATTCTTAGAGAAAACATTATAATTTATAAATAATAAGTTACAAGATTTTCTTCTGTAATTATATGGTTGCTTTACAATGCAAGCCCGATCTACACCGACTTGTCTCCAGCATTGAAATTGCACACCTAAAACAGCAATTCAAAGGGAAAAAATAAACACCGATAAATAACCTCCGAATTTAGAGGAAAATAAATAGCGAAAACATGGAACCGCAATTATAGGGGACTTGGTGAGGAAACTGGTGTGTCACGTGACGTGCATTTTCCCCGCTATACTTAGTGGAGAAACTGAATGGTTGTATAGGGGACGTTACGTCAGGTCAGGTCACGTCGATTTCTCCCGCTAAATTTAGCAGGGAAGCTGGATTGGTGTCTACACTCTAAAAAATGCCTGCGCGTCCACTTACCCTCAAAACACTCAAAGAGCCAATCTCTGCGATCTACGAAATCAATTCAGCGAATGATGAGGCGGAACATCCGTTTAGACTTAAAAAAATGAAGTTTGTGCTGTGGCATTATGTAATGCAAAACGTCATGCTTGCATTGCGTGATGCCACAGCGCAGACTTAATTTTGAGGTCTAAACAGATGTTCCACCTCATCATTCGCTGAGCTGATTTGGTTGATCGCAAAGATTGGCTCTTCGAGTGTTTTGCGGGTAACTAGACGCGCAGGCATTTTTAAGAGAGTAGGTCACAAGACGTGAATTTTCCCGCTAAATTTAGCGGATAGCTGAATCGGCATATAGGTCACGTGACGCTCATTTTCCGCTAAATTTAGCGGCGAAACTGAATTGATCTTTTGCCCACAAGACTTCAATTTTTCCGCTAAATTTAGCGGGGAAACCGAGTTTACGGAAGGGTCACGTCCCTTCAATTTCCTTAAGGTGTATAGGTCACGTTACCTCAAGTGACGTCACGTGACGCCACTTTCCCCGCTAAATTTAGCGGAAAATAAACAGACGTACGGACGGTGCATGGACGGACGGACGAACAACATTTTGGCATTGAGTGGTAACGTGAAAAAAAAAAAAGCATTTAAAACGAAAACAAACGATACAAACAAAACTACGAATGGTTAGATCTACGGAGGGTAATGTGACGTGTCTCACGGTTCCCAGTTCTGGACAACACGTGCGCAGACGGCCACGTCTGCCCTGGGGAGACCACGTGCTGCGTGACGCCCAGCGGCACGTACAACTGCTGCCCCTTCGCTTTTGGGGTCTGCTGTTCGGACCTCACGCACTGCTGCCCTCAGGGCTACACGTGCGACGAGAGCACCCAGTCCTGCAAGCAAGGCGCCCTTTACCCCTTCCTAAGAGACCTGCCCATGCTGCCAAAGTTTCCAAGCTCGTCAAACCGGCCCTGAGCCACTTGAAAGATCGGACCCGAAGCTGAGCTGGAGCGAGTTTGGTGGGATTCGGCGGATTGCCAGAGCACGTTCCGGCGGATCGCCAAAAAGTTGTGTGATAATCGTGTTTGCTTTTGTTTTGTATTGTATCCTTGCTTTATACGGGTCTCCACCTTTGGTGTGAGCGCCTAGAACAATAAAGTGCTCGCTTATGCGTTGTACGTCTGGTGGATCGGCCAATATAGATGAAAACTGAGACCGATCAAGCCGGAAAAAGGATGCCAAAAAACGGAAGTGTGTGTAAAAGCCGATGTGGTTAGTTGGTCATTTATTGTAGAGGATAAAAGTGCAAAAATATAATGGACAAGTGAACGAATAGGGAACATCACAGAGCGCCTTTTGGTGCGTTCGTCATTCTTGTCGCCTTTCCATTCTGTCTTAGTCCTTCTATCCTCTGCAGTGAGGTGTGTCGTCTTATTATCGGGCTTCTTTCTCCTTTTACGGACAAAGGTTTCAGTTGTGGTTAATCGAGCCAAATTGGTGGGGCTAATCGTAACAATAAGCCGGATAATTAACCAAACTATGCTAATTACCGTTTTGGTTATTGAAAATAAACATATGGCTCCGGTTAGAAACTTGCTGAACGTCATCGAAAACCACTAATTCAGTCAATGCTTGCAATAGTTGGGGCACGTTTTCATCCCAGCCTTGTGCCTGTTGCACGACGGGTGACTTTTGCGCACTACTGCGCTTCCATCGCGCTCAGAAAATGTCTAATATTGACTGGTTCAGAGGTTTTCGATTACGCCTAGCAAGTTTCTAATTGCACCCATATGTCTATAATCAAATAACTAAACGTTAATTAACAAATGTGTAGTTAACTGTTCGACTTATTGTGACGGTTAGCCCCCTATTTTGTGTTCCACTGACCGTGTAGCTCACCCGTACAAACCGCATTGGTGTAAGTTTGGCGGCTTTTTTTTTCTTAAACAAATATCTGGCGTATGGAAGAGGAACTTGCGCCTCCCGCCTTTTCCGTGAATCAGTTAAGTTTAGGATTACCGCGAACCTGCCGAAGTGTAGTTCGACCAGCTTCAACATTTTCGAACTTCCAGTGGACAAAGACTTTTTGTGCGCACGCACAAAATTTTTAAAGCGAGCTGACTCTACGTAGCAGAATAAAATTGGAATAATTTTTTTTTGTAAGCTTAATTTTATCGTTTTACATTAATAATCTAAATAAAGCACTAAAAATATGCATCTTTAACTTTAAATACTTGAACACTGGTAATAGTTTTGTAAAATATGAAATAGGCTACTTTATGAATTACTTGTACACCAAAATATGAAATTTTCGTGTATAAGTCGGGCAACACTGCTCATAAGTCGGTATTCGCCGAAAAGTCGAAGGTTCGCTGAATCAGTCGATTCACGAGGTTCGACCCAAGCTCGTGACACCTCTAGTTGAGTCGCTGAAAAGGCCGAAAGATGGTCCCGATAAAACGTGGCGTCCTAATATATGGACCGAAAAAGTGGCTCCGGAAAAATGATCCCGAAAGTAATTTTCCTCCCTGGTAGGTATAAAAAACCGTAGTGAGCTCACTCCATCATTCATGGCCTGGGACTGCTGCATAAATGCATCCCCAATGTGCCGCCGTAGAACCTCAAAGGGGTACCTCGACACTTTGCTCAGACACTTGCCACGATCTGCGAAGCCTACGGGGAGGAGTCCATGCCAAAAACACGAGTTTTCGAGTTGCACAAGAAGTCTAAAGAAGGAAGGGAGGACTTCAAGGAGGCGCAAAGCGGAAGACGTCGGTCAACAAGCCCAAACGAGAAAAATGTGGCAAAAGTAGAAGAACTTTTGTACTCTAATCGACGCGTGAGTGTGAGAATGATTGCAGAAAAGTTGAATGTACAGTAATCCAGCGTGCATTGTTACACGATTGGCAGCCGAGGAAGTTTACGAGGCTAGAAATTAAGCAACACTTAACTTACCAGCTGAAACTTGCTGGGCCGGGGCAACTTGATGTCGCTGGAGGGTATTTAAAAAAAAAAAAAAAAACTAAGAAGCTTTACAAAAAAAAAAAAAAAACACGTTATCGCCGTTGAGCTTCAAGCCCACGACCGGCTGGCGTGCTGAATGGAATATGCCCGCACGACCCTTGTGAACCCTTCCCGTATTACACTTTGATCGCTGACCTCAATTTTAGATTAAGAGGTCAATTTCTTCCTCTTGTTATCTCCTTGCTTCCCGAGGCAACGGTGACTCTCGCCGGTGAAAAAGCGGTGAATCTCCGACAGACGCAGAAAAGGTAAAGCAGCCATCGCTTTGACTAGCAGACGTAAAGCAGACGACGTTAACTGCGCCAACCCGCCGACGCCGTTAAAGAGTGAGGGGTCTCGCCGCACACGAATGGAGGGAAAAAGTATTTGGGAGGGAACTTGCGGACACTAACGCGCTCACTCTCGGTTCTAAGCAAACAAACCTCGGCGCCTCGGGACACCTCGCCAGTGAGTCCTTTCACTTCCCTCCTTGATGCGCGTCTGCTAGTTGTTAGACAAAAACAACGTACCGCTCGAGTTATTTCGTCTGCCCTCTTTTAATAAAAGCGAAGTCGAGTTCGCTCCGAAAGTCGCAGGAAAGGTAAGACAGACGCAGACGACGTTGCGAGCAGACGACGTTGCAAAGGAGCAGACGATGCTGAGATAGGGGGACGCGATCAGCCAATCAGGGCTCGGCGTTCTGACGTCACCGCTACTTCCTTTATCATGCGCAGAAGACGAAAATGAGCCCACTTGCGAGGCGTATTGAAAGATGAATGTCGTGGATACTTCTAGATTCCACAAAGTCACTACTTTCTATTTCGATGTTTGTTACAAAAATCAGCTTAACAGTTTTTTTTAATACTTGAATAAACTGAATTTCGGTTGTTTCCCGGTTTTTATGTTTAAAGGACAAAAACAGAAAAAAACAGCTATTGTTTTAAAATTCCCGGTTCTCTTCCGAGTACGTCGCAACCCTACTACAATGGCGTCAACTTGCGCCCCCTGCCGTTCAGAAAACACACTTCAGAAAGAAGTAGTTTGACCGGAGTACGAGAGATGGCGACACGTGTGACGCAATTCTTCAAATATCGGACGATTACAGAGACAACTGTGGACGACGTTATTATTTTTTTTTCTTGAATTAGCTGACAGCTGTCACACGAGCATTTACTATGACCATGTGACACGCTGCGCTGAAAGGTTTGTGTCAAAGGTGTCAAAGGACCGGGAATCCGCCATCCGCCGAATGGAGTATCTGTTTTCCTCTTGCGATGAAAACACTCGTTTCCCGCTCTCTTGTTCCACGTTCAGCGCGTGTCTCAAACGAACTCGTTCTGCGGTAGTGCAGTTGAAGTTTTGCGCGCCCGTACATTAGTGTTTTGTATTGTCTGCTCCCTTGTGATCTCGTTAACTGCCCTAGAGAATGGACCTTTTCTATATACCGACGGCACCAGGCGGTGGCTGCGCGAGCTAAAAAATCGAGGAAGTGACCTGCGCTACCAATCAATAATGGGAGCTACGTTACCAGTTGCTTCGCTCTCTGAGCAGCGTCGCGTGCCCAATGCAACGAGGTAGGCCTAGCACGACTTTAAAGAAGGAAATCCGTAGCGTCCACCCAAACGTCGTGTTTTTCTTTCCGTCCACTTTCTTTTTTTGTGTAACACAATTATATATATGCTGCAATTACGTGTTCTACTCGTCGATTTACAGCCTCATTCCGAATTTCCTCAATTTTTTCGTGCCGACTTCCACCGCTTGGCATCGGGCGCTCGCGCGTGCGCAGAACGCTTCTCGGAAAAGGTCCATTGTTCAACTTTGATGGGTAGAGGAGAGTAGAGGTTCTACTGTACTTACACGCAAATTCAGGTGATGTCAGCTGTTACTGGTCACGCGGGAAGAGTCTCCCCGCTAAACTAAGCGGGTAAAGGAAGCCCTTCTGTGTACGAATGACGTCACGCAACGTAAATTTTCCCTCGACATATAACGAGGAAGTGTAACGGGCGTCGTAGGCACGCAATGATATACTTCGTACACCCTGAAAGGGGTCATGAAACGATATCGGGTTGGAATGTTCATGACTTTGCCGAGGCGCACTGGTCCTAGTCTCGCCCCAAGTATACTCGCAAGGACTACCACTGATTCAGGGGCTTCTTTGTCGCGGTGACATTGCGAGGATAAAAGTGGACTATTTCTTTCAGTCTTGCCTTCGCAAAGCTTGATGACGTAATTGTGGGATCGAAATCTCCCGCCTGACGAGAGAGGAGCGCGGCTCATGGATTGGAGACGAGAAATGCGTGAACACGCGACTTCGGCTCGTAACAATCAATGCCTCGGCGGACAACTCAGGTGGTGGCTTGTGTCCGACCACTGCGATGATGAGAGAATAGCCGAACTCTAACAATGCCTGGAACTTAGCACGCGATTTCAACTTTGCCGACCCCGTCACGTGGCTATGATTAACGTTGGCAGCCTAAGATATGAACCAGGTCACGTGGCCGCTTGTTCTCGCTCCGAGTTTAGGGGATGAGCAATGCTCATATTTCTCGAATTTTTTTGGCAACTGCCGTTGCATAAAAAAAAAAAAATAATAATAAAAACTAAGGCAAAACACACGTAACCCGGATCGAGCAGTGGGAAGGTCTTTGTGATGTAGGCTCTCCTAAAAAAAATTGGGACCGCTGACTCGCCTGCTGGCTGCAGAGCACATAGCGGTCCCCAAAATTTTCATCGCGGACGTTTCATCGCGGAATTGAGGCGCACGACCTATTTAGCGGGTGTAACGTGCTCAATTCATGTTGTTGACGAAAAAACAGTCATACATGTTTTTTATATTAAAGGAACATTCTAGCATTCTGACTTTCAATATTGAAGAAACCCGAGTCAAAATATAAAGAGACTATGAACCTTTCTCAACACACCCGCTGCTGGCAGAACGTGTGTTGCACGATGAAGTTGCGATGAAGACCTTCACCACCGCGAGGGGCGCTGCTGCAGTCTGCAGGCCAGTTGTTTTCATCGCAACTCTACGCAGCCCTTCGCCCCCACCCGTCACATTTCCCCTTCCGGCCACCACACCACGTGACACCACGACTTGACGTCGAGTCGCCCCATCACGCGATCACTTCGCGTGACCTTCAGGTCACGCGACGTCTTGGTATTAGGTAACGTGATC